TGAATCAAAAACAGCTGCCAGGAGATGAATTGAGTTGGTTTCCAGCAATGTTTTCATAAGCCCTCCAGGTGACTTAGGTATATACTAGAGTCTGAGAACCACTGTACTAGAAAGAAGAGTACCATAAAGGTTAGGGTTTTTGTCTTACTCAATACCATATCTCCAGTGTCTAAAAAAGTGCTTGTCTAATTAGTAGGTATACCGTATTCATTATTCTGTTCAGTCTCATACTGCCAATCTCAGTGTAAAAACTCTGATGGTAGTTCAGTCAGAAATGCCTTGTTTAGTTGCATTAAAGGCTTTTATGACACATATTCACAAGGTGGGTATAGCAGTGTAACCAATTCATGTTGAGGCAATAGTGAATAAGAAAAAATGAAGATGTTCAGGTATTTTAGAGCAGTGATTTACTCAAAATAAAGTTTAAGAAGCTCTATACTTTTGTTTACATGATTAACAGTTGGTGTTTACTAACCTAGCAAAACCACCATATCCAAAGAACTGAGTTTTCTTTGTTTATGTGCACAGATTGCCTCACCTGTGGTATCAAACATCATAACATGGGACTCACCAAGCAGTACCTACGCTATGTTGCTAGTGCAGTCTTTGGCCTGATTGGCAGCCAAAAAGGTAATATTGTCTTTGTGACACTTCGTGGTGAGAAAGGACGTTATGTGGCAGTACCAGCCTGTGAACATGTCTTCATCTGGGACTTACGGAAAGAAGAGAAGGTGAGTAAAAAATCAACAAGGCCGATACTGATATGTGCATGTTTGAGGAAGGGGAGGCAGAAATGAATGAGCTCAAATTTATTTACCTACCACGCACTGGATTTTGTGTGGATGTGTCCTTAGAAGTCTTTGGTTTAAGATAGCCAAGTATCAATTTCTGTTGTTGTACTCCACCAAATCCTGAAAATCCACAACTTTATTTTTGACATCAATTTATTTTTCTCTACCTACCAGGTCTTCATTTTTCAAGTTTTTTCACAGCACGATACAAAATATTAGACATTTTAAAAAGAGACTTCCTCTGCTATGTTGATGGCGTCTTTTTCTTACTAATACAGATAAGGCACAAGAGTTGTTAAACTACTTTTTGACTTTGTGTGACTCTGAATTCCCTAACCCTATCACCTCTGTCAAATAGGCATTTTAATCTTGTCTATTAACTGTGGAACACCCAAGAGGTTACTAGTCTGATATTTCAAACTGTTGCCATGCAGAGTGCCTTGGTGATTGGACCACTGCAGTATTCCGTGCTTTGCAAATTGATTTCTCATAAAATGAGGCCTTGTTAAATAAGCATGGGTTTATAACCTGCTGCGGTCCTGCCGAGGCAAACTGTAGAAAACCTGAAACGGGGCGCAGGGATTGAAAAGAGACGAGAGGGCTCCCAGTTAAGACTGAGCAACTTTATTGACTTTACTGTTCTCTTTTATAGTACTCAAGAATAAAAAACATCTTACATAAGGCACATCTGGAAATTCCCCAGGCCTTGAGACAGTCCCGTGTTTTCTTTTCCCTAGCTCCGTGTCCTTGTGCTGTTCTTACCACTTTCTCCTACGCCCAGCTTCTTCAGAGCTGGGCAGCAAGCTCTACAATATTTCACTTAACCCTTTCGTAGGAAATCCAAGTTGTCCATCTTAATACTTATAGAGCTGTTGGCTCTCCACA